TTATTCCCCGCCTATCTGGTCCAAAAGGACCACTCTAGGCGGCTAACAACCATATTATGAAACCAGCCTTCCACGGGGACCGGCTCAAGGCTAATTTCAGGCACGGTGCATTTCTAATATAAAAGCCTTTCTCGAAAAGAAAAGACTCTGCTAGAATAATAATTTTTTCCACCTGAACATATTCCAGTGAGCAAGCGCGTAAAGATGGTGTATTCTGAAGCAAACACGATGGAAGAAAACCCCATCAGGAGAGCAGAGATCATGGATAAGATGTTATTCAGGATCAGGGCCCCTCTCCTGAAAAGGAGGAAGGGCTCATGTGAGTTCAAGAGTGCGGAAGGAAAAAGTACAATGGATAGCTCACGAAGAGGAGGCGGAAAAGCTGTGGAATTCCTCAGAAATAAGATTTATGTGCACTACCATTCCCAAAATCCCCAGCCAGTGAGGAACCCACAGAAAGCACAAATTTCTCTCCCCCCCACCCCACGCAGGCTCTGCTTGTCAGAAGTGGGTCAGCTGAGGCCATGTTTTCTCCCTTCCCCCCGCCCCCTGCCATGATTATATTGATGTACCTGCCAAATCTGTCCACCAGCAGGCTCGCCAAGAGGGAGCCGATCAGCCCTCCGAGGGAGAAGAGCGCCGTGGTTAAGTTATACAGGAAGCTGAGGAAGCCTTTGTTGAGGGTTATCTTCTTCTGGTGATAAGTGACGTTGTAGAAGTCTTGTATGAGCTGAGAAAGAAGCACAGGGTTAGCCCAGAGGGCAGGGCGGCGAAAGAAGCCGGGCACATCCCTGGGGCCGACCCTTCCGTTAGGCAGGAGGGCAGAGTCTGGGCATTTAACCTGGAACGGCAGCAGATCCGCCAGCGATTTGCATCGTGGTTGCGTTTTCACAGCCGGAAGGAGGCGAGTGTGGGGTTTCTCGCCTTGTGCGTGGCTGGCTTTGGGGTGGGGTGGGGGCGACGCTCCTTGACAACATTTCCTGCTGTGCCTCAGGCAGCAGAATATCCTGGGGCGGCCCCGTTTGCACCCAAATGCAAATTGACAAGTGGGCTGCAGTTGCCATCCAGGCCAGAGAGGGGACCAATCCTGAATGGTGGATATAGAATATTAATATAATATTGCCTATTTTAATGGTTTTAAAGTTTTAATATTGTTGTACGCCGCTCAGAGACCACTGGTAATGGTGCGGCTAAAAATATTGTAATTAATTAATTAAATAAATACAGCTGTCTGATTTGTGTGTTGTATTTTCAATATATAAACCAGGCCTTCTAACCATCACAGATTTAGCTTCTCTGGTGTTTCCTTCTGCCACCTCTTTCTCTTTTTCCCTCCTCAGCGACTAGCTTTTGTCATCTGCCCCATATTTTCATCTGAACTTTATAGGACTGATCTAGGCCCCATCCTCAAAATAGGCCCAGCACCCTAGATAGCTCATGTAAAGTTCGGATTAAAACCTGAAAAGGATTGACATCTCCCTACCGTGAAATTCCAGGCAAACCCTTAAGATCTAGGGCAGTGATTCTCAGCCTGGGATAACTCAGGTGTTCTTGGACTGCAACTCCCAGAAGCCCCAGCCAGCACAGCTGGTGGTGAAGGCTTCTGGGAAATGCAGTCCGCAAACACCTGGGCTACCCCCCAGGTTGGGAACTGCTGACCTAGGAAATGTTAAGATGTGAAAACAACTTTTGAGAAGGTCAGTCCACACTGCAGCGTGATCTTACCGTGGCCGGGTGGTTCACCACCCAGATATTATAACCATGTTGGAGAGACGAGCCAAAGGAAGTGATCACTGCAACCATGACAAGAGGCTTGGTCAGCTGTGCCTATGGAGGGGGGGGGAACAGCAGACACTCAAGTGTGCAAGGCAAAGCATTAATCAATAACCACTTCTAATCAATTAACAGATTCACAGGCTTCTGTAAGAGAAGGGGTGTGGTCACTCTAGCCATCTCTGCAGATCAACCCTGGCGTCCAGAAGGAGAGAAAAGTTGTAGGACGTCAAGGCAGAAAAGCACTCGATGAAACAGAACAAGGGGAACGTCGTGCGGATGGTAGGAAAAAAAACAATACACACAGCACCTCTGGAGGACGTGGTGCATTTAGGAAAGCAAACCTCCTCTCCGCAAACTCTTTTGAGGTTACCAGTTTTTCTTTCACCCTGGAGATAGAACAAGCTGATCAAACGTACCCATTTGGGAGAAGTTTTCTTTTTCGTTTCCATTGACTTCGTCCTGCTCCGCTTGGCACTGACATTGGATCTGCGGGGTTCCAAAGAGGCTTGTACGCTGAGCATTTGCGTGCGGCTTCCGGCCGGGCTCGGGAGGGATGAGCGGGGTTCTCGCTTTGCTACTCTGAGGTCTTTGGGGCTTCTTCCCACGCTGCTTGTGACTGACGTTTGGGGTTCCATCCTGGGTAACTCCAGTTCTTGTGTACTGCTCCTCCTTGTACTAGTTGTCGATTTTGGGGGTTTGCTCTCTGTGACCTCAGGCTCTTTTGTAGTGCTTTCCATGGGACTCATCACTGGTTTTGGGAGCTCTCTCTCGGCCCCTTCCGGCTCTTCCCCAGTGCCTTTAATGGGACTAATGCTGGATCGGTGGTGCTCCCCCAGGTCCTCTGCGTCGTGGTCCATGGTGTTTGCACGGGGATCACGCAATCAGGCTCAACTGTAGGAAAGCATTTGGAGAATATTCAGTGTTCATGCCAGCAGAGTGTATGAGGCCAGGACTGAGCTTGCTGCTGTTAAACAAAAAATAAGTCCTCTCGAAAGGCACAACTGGGTAAAAGACAGAAAAAGAAAGCTCATGTTTATTGCTTCAGGAAATCCAATCAGAGATAGCGTGGGAGAAAGAGCCTTAAACTTAGTTACAGAAGCCCTGGAAGTTGGCTTCAGTGTGTTCAGATCTTCTCAGCTGCCACGGAGATACCAGCACGAACAGGAAACCTACTAAACATCTCCATGCAACTCCCATGTGAGGTAAGAAAAATAATCGCTAGACCCTGTTATTATTTATATGATATGTTCCTCTGTGTGTTCAGGACTAGAAAAACCTTTAAATTTTCAATGTACCCATTTAAAGAATTTCAGAATCTGGTCAGAAGGCAAAGCTGTGTTATCTCAGGGTAATAGATTATTTCATCGATTGACTGATTATTTGAACAGGCCCAGAGCCTGCTAACTAGCTAGCACCTGCCTACATTCGGCCAAGTCTGTCTCCAGACATTTTGCTGCCTGAGGCAGAGTAGCCGGTGTCACTCCCTAAAGCTGAAATGCAACCATCTACCCAAAGCTAAGTTAAGCTATTTTGGCAAAGAATCTGGAAATCCTGTATTGTATTCCTGCCTTGAGAAGGGGGTTGGACTTGATGGCCTTGTAGGCCCCTTCCAACTTCACTTTTCTACGATTCTGTGAAATCCCACAAACATTTCTCTAATGAAATGAATTTAACAGTTTCATGACACCTCGAACCTGCAGCCTCTGGCCGCTGCCCCCACTCCATTCAGACCCAGCATGCACCAGACAACTTGCGGAGAGGTGTCAAAATAAAGCGCAAAAGCCCACAAACTTACCCCTGCTTTTTTTGAGCTGGTGAGAAAGGAGGAAATTCCACCAAGCTTTGTTCTGTCTTGAAATAAAGGTTAGCGGGACTGTAAGAGCCAATCAGGGGATAGAGGGATTGGAAGGTTCTGAAAGAGAACTCTCTGGCAGTTGGGAGACAATGTGATGCTCAATTTCCCGAAGGAAAGAGAAGGATCTTAGGAGCAGAGCTCCCCAATCATTTAATGGGGTTCCATTGCCAGTTTAACAGAGAGGCTCGGCAGAGAAGTCAAAAGGGGCTGAACTAGCAGTCAATAAAAACGGTGATGTATGATAAGCGTTGTAGAGTTGGATGGAGCACCCCGAGGATCGCCTTGACCTGCACCCTGGTATGGCAGGAACCCACATCTCAAACTTCCCTGTCCGATGGCCATCTCGCCACTGTTTATAAACATCTACTATTCTTTTAATGTCCAATAAACCACTGCTCTCCCACTCTTTCCGAGTGCATCAGAATCAACCGACGGCATCAGATGTACAGATTTTTAAAATAAAAAGGTCTCATGTTCTCGCTATTATTTGCCTCTCCAACGGTGGCTGAACGAGGGTCGTGGGATTTCACCCGTGGGGCGCAGGGAAATCTTCTAAGAGAAGGGTGGGAGATAGATATTTTTAAATGGGATCATATAGTTTAGGTACAGTGCTTCCCAACCTCGGCTCCCCAGATGTTCTTGGGACTACAACTCCCAGAAATCCTGGCCAGCCCAGCTCGTGGGGAAAGGCTTCTGGGAGTTTTTGTCCAAGAACATCTGGGGACCCAAGGGTTGAGAACTGCTAGTATAGTCTAAGAGAAGGGTGGGAGATAGATATTTTTAAATGGGATCATATAGTTTAGGTACAGTGCTTCCCAACCTCGGCTCCCCAGATGTTCTTGGGACTACAACTCCCAGAAATCCTGGCCAGCCCAGCTCGTGGGGAAAGGCTTCTGGGAGTTTTTGTCCAAGAACATCTGGGGACCCAAGGGTTGAGAACTGCTAGTATAGAGGACATGGCCCAGCTCGTGGGGAAAGGCTTCTGGGAGTCTTTGTCCTAGAACATCTGGGGATCCAAGGGTTGAGAACTGCTAGTATAGGACATGGTTTCAGCACCCCGGAGAGCGCCTTCTGGACTTAATCCTAAAATTAATCCTCTCTGTGTGGTTTAATGCAATGTACAGTTTACTCCAGGTTTAAAACAGCTGCAGCTGTAAATTAACCCCAATAACTCTCACATTTCATGAAAAGTGTTGTGAACACACAACTCTGTGGACAGTTCTGTGCTCAGTCTGATGTCTCTAAAGGTGGAGCCGAAATCACTGATTGTCTGTTTAAAATCTCAAAGAGGGCCTTTCCTATTAATTCCGTAAGTTCTTTACGATTGCATCAGTAAAAAGCCGAAGGAGCTGAAAAGTGCTTTTTAAAATAGTAATCAACAAAAATAATTTTATTGAAACAATAAAAAAACAAAAGGTATTTAAAAACACTTCTATGTTACATAACATGAATTCCATTCATATTGACATACATTTCTCATATCCCCATTTCTCCATCTTCACCCTCAAAGCAAGTTCCACATTTTATTTTTCTTACATTTTTTTCCATCCCATTTCTCTCCAGAAACACATTGATTCGGGAGCTGAAAGGTGCTTGAATGAAAAAGGGTGGGAGAGGAGAGAAGGCCAGGGAAGAACTATCCCTAATGCATCAAAAAAGAAGTCAGAAAAGTTACTTTTTTTTCAGACTACAACAGCTAGAATATGAGCTATGCCATTCTGGAAACTTGTAGCTGTTTTTTTAAAAAAGGAACTCCCACATGCTCTGTGACCTCAAGGATGATCACCAAGGCTTTCTTGATGACCTTCAGCTCTATGAAGGTCTTCTGCTGCCCTTTTTAACTGTCTGAGGCCACCATGAGCTCCTTGATCAAGATCCTCCTAGCCGTCTGAAGGGCCACCAGGCGCTGGGTCTCCAGAAAAGTCTTGTTTCTTGTGTCTGGAATCATCTTGGAGAGATAGATAAAGCTGACGACGCAGAGGGGCCAGAAGAACAGAAAGCTGTAGGGCTCAAGATAGGTCTAACAACAGGAATTAGAAAGGGAGGAGAGAGAGAGAGAGAGAGAGAGAGAGAGAGAGAGAGATGAATACCATCATGCAAACATGTATTTGTTTATCACACCCTATAGGGCATTTTCCACCTCTCCCCCAGGACATGGCTAGGAAACCTGGGCTCCCACCCCACAAAATATCATGGGGCCCTCTTTTACATCAAGATCCTGCAGGCTGACAATTTGCAGTCAAGGATCATGGCAACAGGACAGGCATGTGAATATTAAAGGCCATGGATCACATATAGCTCCCCCATGCTTTCTTCTTCTTCTTCTTCACATCCTCACAGATCCCAGATTTGTGGAGGAGCATAGAGCAAAAAGAAGTAAATGAATAAATCTACCAAAATTTGCATTTTTAAAAAGAAAAGAGGAAAAAAGAGAGAGAGAGAATAATGTCACTAGGAAATGCAATTCTCCATTTTTGTTATTATGCACCATTGAGCCCTCTGTGGTGGCCCTAATAGAGTTTTCAAAGTGTGTGGGGTCAGCAGAGAGTCTTTTCCTATCGCCACCCTGCAAAGAGCTCCCAAGGGATTCGAACCCAGGTTTCCTGAGCCTTAGCTCAACATTCAACTCCCCTTTACCACACTGCTGGCCTCATTCTGTAGTGCTGGCAGCCTCTGGCTTGGGAGCCTCTCATGATTGAAAGCATAAGGGTTTAACCTGCTTTAAAAGTCAGATTCAGAGAGGAAGTATGCAGACCTGGCAGTGTTGGTTGGTTTAATTCAGTTTGGGCTTTTTAGCCGTGCAGGTGGGAGTTTCCTGGACTATTCTAAATTGCTCACCTCTACATGCAGGTACACCACGGCAATCAGGAATCGGCAGAGCCAGTGTACGTATCCTGTAACCACGAAAGCTGAGGATCGGGACGACTGAAGGAACAGTTCTGATATCATCACATTGGCCACTGAATCTGGGCAGACAGCAAAGAACCCGCTGTGTTTCATGCCCTTTGGACCAACCCACCTGTGCCGCAGGGCTCAAAAACAACGCGTCACCTTTAACGCGTTAGCAATGGAAACGATCCTTTCGTGTTAAACAGATGAGATGCCGCTAATCTTTGAAAAACAACATTTTAAAAACCATCGAACAGTTACACTGGAAGGGTTTCCCTTCTGATGCAGCCTCTTTGTGCAAAAAATAACCATTTTAAGGTTTAATGTCTCAAATCCATTTCCAAAAGCGGATACACCAGAGGGGCAGGAATGTTAATCTCATCCTCGGGCTGGCACAAGTCCACGGGCATGGAGATTGATTTATGATATGTTTATTTAAAATATTTTTAATCCCATCTTTCTCCTTAAAAAAGAACCCAAGGCGGCTTACATCATTAAAAGGGACGGCATGTAGAAGCTATAAACAGTAGATATACAAATATTTTTTAAAGGATTAAGAAACAGAAACAAGAAACAGATCAGCAGCAAGTGGAACGGCTGTAACCGGGGGGTGGGTGGGTTATGTGATCTTTGTAAGCAGCCCCAGTCAGCAATCTGGCTCCTGCAGTTTGGGCCCTCTGGAGTTTCCGAACAGTCTCCAAAGGCAGCCCCGCGTAGGGCGCGTTACAGTAATCCAGCCAAGATGTAACTAGGGCAATGTGTCACTGTGGCCAAATCAGACCTCTCAAGAAATGGCCGCATTTCCCATTAAATCAAAGGTAACCCACTGCAAGGGGCTGTAGTTTTGTGGGGGGGGGATCTGGCCCATCATTCCCTACTGGTTCTCCAGTTTTGATCTATTCTGTCTCTCCTCTGGATCTCCTGACCTCCTGAGTGCACTCACCTGGCCCAATGCACTGCCCAATCAGGAAGAGAGAGACAAAAGTTGCACTGAAGTAAGACAGCCATAAGACGGTTTTCTGTTGGAGGACAGCAATCACAATGCGCGTCAGGCTAACAGAGAGCAACAGAAGCCCTAGTGGGGTAACTCAAGGCCATGAGAGCGACATGCAAGAACAAAGTGGATTTTTTTTTTCAGGAAATGTCTCTAAATTGAGACCTAATATCCTACTCTCTCATCCCCTTGGGGCCGACCTGTCCATTAAGGTGCTGGTTCTTGTCTTCCATGGAGTGGGGGGGGGGGGCGTTTCAGGTAGAAACTACATAGAAGTGGTTTACCATTCCTCTCTTCCAGGGGTGCCCTGGGGACTGTGCAGCTTGCCCAAGGCCACCCAGGCTGGCTCTTCTCCCAGGAGGCCCCAAGGGGGAATCGAACTCCCAACCTCTGGCTCCACAGCCAGAGACCTCAACCATCGAGCTTTGGAAATCTGCAGCTCTTCCAATGACATTGGACTCCAGCTCCCATCAAGCTTGGATGGCAGAGGGAGGGGTGATGGGATCTGTGATCCAGCAATATCTGGAAAGCTGTGCTCTGCCAATTCTTGGAAGATTTTCCCGTGCAAAGACTGGAAGTGATAACCTGAAGTTCGAGGGACATGGTAAGAAGGATGCAGGTTATGCTACAGATCCCAAAGCCGGTCAGAAGGAGATTCTTCAGCCCAAAAGATTCCACAACATACAACTAGAAAATACAAAAAAAAACCAGCATTAGGGGAAGAAGAGGATGCTGCAGGCTAGTGGGGTACAATGAATACAGCCGAGGTGGATAACATTACTTTTTATTCTGCCTTGAGAGAGCCCTGGCATCAGGTTTTAATTTTTTAAAGAAATAAATTTGGCCACTAGAGGGCACAAAGGAAAATTTTTCACCTTTAAAAACATTTTTGTTTCAAAAAAAAGGAATATTTCCCCACCCCATCCAGATGTAGAAGATGGCATCTATCACACACTTAAAACGGAGGGGACACATGTTCTCAATCCAGGGTTAACCCAAGACATTTTGATTCCTAAGGCAGAAACAGCACCTCCCCATCAGAGGTCATGTCTTATGGCAATTAAGCAGACCCAGCAGTTTTGAAGGAATTTAGTTTTCGGTGGGAAAATGTTTAATTGTGAGAGAATTTTACCGCTAGTACGAGGGTGAACAAAAGGAGAATATAAATCGTCATGGTGATATATGGCACGATCGCTGCTCCGATGCGTGTCGACGTGAAGATTCTCTCCATATAATGTTGCGCCTGAAATGAGAACAGAGCCCTTACCTACCTTAGGATTGGGAGGTGCCTCCTTCCACCCTAATGACACAGCCAGCCCTGGCGAAGGAGCCTCACGTACTGCATTGATGCCAGAGAGCTGCTGGCCACCCATCAGGACGACGGCAGTGATGAGGTTCCACCGCTGGTCTTCGGACTGTAGGAACTTGAACACATCCATATCTTTCTCCGACTTCTCAGTGGCGTCTTCTTGACGAAGTTCCTCCATCTCTTCCTCCACATCATCTTGGCCTCTGAGCTTTTTTAAGGCTGAGTTTCAACGGGAAGAAAGATCTGAATGGAAGGGGAAGAGGTTCCTACCCTACCTTCCTTCCCGCAAGCCCAAGGATGTCTGTGTTGTTTTCTCCTCTTAACTCACATAAAGGCAGACCCAAAGTGACTCTCTGATCCTTCAGGGTCATCCGCTCCGGATTTTTGTCTAATTCAGTGGTTTGGCAACATACGTAGAATTAGGACTTCCTCTGTTCTCATGCCAGGGAGTGCGCTAGACCTATCTATAAGAGGAGTCTAATCCCTTTACCAAACTACATATCCCAGGATTCCGTAGGACAGAGGTACAGCAGTTAAACCCGGATCAAACCTCTGTAGCCATGCAATGTAGACACACTCTTCTTATTTATCTCAGTCTACCCATTTACAGTAATTGATAGGCTTAGTAACAGAATATTTATAAACATCCAAACGTTCTTGGGGAAAGAGATTATTTTGTTTTTATTAGAGTCAGGCACTACTACTTTGATAGAGTGCTCAATGGAACATAAAATATGAAAAGTTGAGCACCGTTGCACTACATGTGCTTTGTTTATGTGGAGGCAGGCTTTCTTCCTCTTCAATGTTTTTCTTACTTGTCATTTTAAGAGGTATATGCAATTCACTGATTCAGTTTATCAGGGATCTTTATGTTCCACATTTACTCCTGAAAGCTCAAGCCATAACATGTGAATTCCTTCCTCCCCATGTTATCACGACAACCCTATGAGGTGTGAGGTAGTCCAGAGAGAGAGAGGGAGAGAGAGAAGAAGGGAGAGCAGAGCGGCTCAAAGCTTTCTATTCAATGTCATGTCTCATCGGGGGGGGGACCAGAATCTAGATCCTTTACGAGTGCTCTAACTTTTGCACCATACTGCTTCTTTCCTCTTTTTTGTTTTTTTTACCCGGGGATCGCGTTACCTTGCCGAGCCTTTTCTTCATCCTTCCGCTGAATCAGCAGATATCTTGGGCTTTCGGGGCAAAAGGGCAGGGCAATGATCTGAAACAATGCCGGCAATCCAACGAGGCTCAATAGTATCGGCCAACCTGTGCAAGAGACAGAGGCAGGAACGGGGTCACCCCAAGCCCTTGCCCGCCTGAGGTGGGGCAAACAGCACACCTTCCGCAGAGCCATGATACAGGGGACCCAAGACCAAGAAAGTTATTTGGGCAACAAAGAACCTCAGAAGCCCTTCTCTTTGTTTCCCTGGCAGTAAAAATGCAATTGTAAATGGGCTGCCCTTTTTTTAAAAAAAAATCTACATGCCTAACGTTAGGGCCGGCCCTGGGCCTGAATCCCAATGAGGCAAGTGATCTGATCCAGACCAAAGGTAGCCCATGGCAACGTTACCTTTTGGCGTCCCTAGGATTTGGGGAAGACTGAAGAGAATAGCCAGCAGGCCACCGAAAAGGATGAAGAGGTGGGCCACCATGCCAAGGGTTTCCCTCAGGTTTGTGGGGGCCAGTTCTGTGACGTACATGGGGACGACGCTAAAGGCAACACCTGGTCAAAGGGTAAATGCAAAGAAGAGTGTACAGTATATGTCAGAAGGGTGGGTGAACAAACAGGAACAAGGCCTTCTTGGCGGCGTTCAAAAAGGAGAAACGTTGCTACTTTTGGGCTCCAACTCCCAGGAACCCATAATTAGTAGAGCCAATGCCATGCCGGCTATAGGATTCTGGGAGGTGTATCCCACAAAAGCAACATTTCCTGTGTCTGGTCGTTCAGGCTACCAGGTTGAATTCTCAGCAAACGGCTATATCTCTAGGCAGAGAGGCAAATTTCAGGTTAAGCTGTACTAGAAAGAGGAGACGGTTCCGTTTTATTCCATGCAGTAGCTTTTATTTTTTTGCCACCAAAGACAGGTGACTTTGATTTTGTGTGGGTGCTGAATCCAATCTAGGTTTTAGTTTGAGGTGTTAAACCTAACGGGGGTTTTATTCTGAAAAAGAGAAAGAGAGAGAAAGCTTCGTAGAAGCTGTCCATTGTACTGAATCTCCTTTAGCCACGTGGGAGAAAGGTTTCGAGGCTTCGCTAGGCCTAGCTCTGTTTAACTTCCTGTTCAGAATGAAAACTCCCAGATAGCACTGGGGCAGGAACAGGGAAGGTCTAGCAGTGCTAGGCCTAGCAAAGCCTCAAGGCCTTCTAGCTGAGGCCTTTTCTCCCAGGTGAACCACATGTAGGTGTCTGTTAATCAGGCAGAACACCCAGAATGGGGGATGATGGGGTTTGTAGTCTGAGAAATCCCAAAATCCCATCTTTAGCACATATACTATTATTCCGAATTTGTTACAGAAGAGTTTCTCCCTGTTGACATCCCTAAGTGGCCACCCCAAGTGACTTCACATGGGCTGTCCTTGGGGTTTGGGCCCTAAAGTCCCAGGGAACGGGATGCTACTGGTGTCCATCCAGGAAGGTGCTGGTGACCAGGAGCAGGAAAGTCAGACAGACTGATTTACCTGTGCATGTTCCAATGATCAAGCGTGCGAAGATGATGAACTCGTGGGAACGCATGGCTGTGGAAGAGCCCATGAGGATGGCCGAGGTTATGGCCAACACATTATTTGCCAGTAAAGCACCTTTCCTGCAAGGGGAAGGAATTTATTCATTTATTTATTTTATATCTCACCTATCTGGTCTTGCAACCACTCTAGGCGGCTTCCAAGCAAATAAAAAAACAACGTATAACAAAATAAAAAAGAAATTTTAAATCAATAAACAGATTCTTCAAGATGGGGAAAATAGAAGAAGATAAATGAAGAAGGGAAAATTAAGTATTAACTGGAGGGAAGGCCTGCTTAAACATCCAAGTTTTTAATTGGTTCTTAAAAATACCCAGCGACGGGGCTGCACGAATCTCTGGAGGGAGGTTGTTCCAGGGGCGAGGAGCCACTGCCGAGAAGGCCCAGTTTCTTGTTCATGAATACTCATGAAAATGGAAGAGACGGGGAGACAGGCGTGTGGGACAGAGACAAGCCACCCTCTGAGATACCTACAGCTCTGACCTCCAACCAGAGGCCGGGTACTGCTCCTCAAACCTTGCCCCCCCCCCGAGGCCCTTGCTTCACTTTGCAAAAGGGAAGAGCAGGCAGGTCGTGCCGTCTTTAGGATGAGAACATCACCCCTGTCAGAAGGTCATCCTGCACCGCAGAGCCACTGCTCAGGCTGCGCAAACAGGGTGGAAAGCTTTACGAAGATGCTGGAAGGCTGCCAATCCACCCATCGGTCAATTCCGTGGTACCTGCCACAAGAGTCCGCCAGTGGCCCAACCAGCAGGGACCCCAAGAGGCCTCCGAGCGGGAAGAAGGAGACCGTCAGACCCCACTGGAACATCAGCAGGCTTGAGTCTATGCTGATCCCATTTCGATAACGATAGGTCTCGTTGTAGAAGCTTTTCATGGCCTAGACGAGAAAAAGGCGCAGAATTACTGCCGGCCACGCTGATTTACAGGCGGTGAGAGGAGTCGTCCGGCCTCCCCCCCGCAAAAAAAAATCTGAGCCTAAGTTCTACCAAAAATAAACAAATTAATTCATAATGGACAGGCCCTCATACTTTCTCCTCTGAATAGCTTTATTATTTTGTACATTTAAAAAAAAAAAAACCTCGACAAAAGCAAAACAAAAGTAACAAAGACAGGAAATACAGAATTTTCCTTGTGAGTAAAGGCGTGAGGAATGTATATATGTATGTATATATAAGGATATGTAGCTCTTCCCTCTTTATCCATGTATGTAGATGATCATCATACTTCAGACACGTGGTTGATCACAGAGAAGTTGTACCCATACTGGACAGATGATCCAAGGGCAGAAATCAACGTAGTCAGGAAAAGTGTTTTTGTCAGCTTCTATAAGGAAAAGCAGAAACACACTGTGATTTTCCATGGGCGGGATGAGACGTTGGACTAAAACAGGTGAGATAGCAGCTTTGCAATTAGAGGCGGAGCTGACTTAAGAAGTAAAAAAAAAAGAGTATGATTCTTCTCCAACATTTCTCCAAATCAATTGCCAGCTTTAGCTCTGCACTGACCAGCACACAGTTCCTAAAAGATTACACACAGAAATTGAAAAAGGCATGGCTAGAAGGGCTTAGGGAGTCTGGTAAGCCAAAAAAAAAGTAATTTTTTTGGGCTGTGACAACCCCTGACAGAATGTGACTTTCAGTCAAACAGAGCCTTTCCCTTGATTTAGGACCAGACTGTACAAGCTGCCAGCTTCACAACTAGAAAGGCATGTTCCTTAAATGAAAAATAATATACTCAAAAACACAAGATATTTACAGATTCATGAGCTGCCAGTTAACTTGCTTTTGTGGGATGATTAATTTCCTGGAGGTAAATAATGGGCATCACTTGCAAACTGATTGCATTGACATGCCAACTCTGAAGGAATGTGTTTCTGGAAGGATAATGTCTTATCACCTTCTAATTGCAAAGCTGGTGTCTCTTATAGTTTAGCCTACCCATGCTCAAAAATCCAGGCTTTTTATGATGAATCCAGATGGCAATTTTAAAAATGTATTTATTTATCTTACCATTAACGATCTGTTGAGGAAATAAAGACAGAATAACTGTCCATTGTCTTTTGATTGATACGGTCGGTCTGCTCTGTTTGGAAATGCCTTATGTCACATGGAAAAACTCACCCCTTCCTTGGGTATCGTTCTTCCCTCTGTATCCATGCGTCCTCAGAAGGCACCCAAAATTCAGCTCAGCTGTGGAGGGTGAAGGACCGAAATCTTATCACTTCGTTAAGCAGACTTCTCCTTACAATATTCTTGAAAATACTATTTACTCTCCTTATTTTGACCATTATATGTTAAAAATGTGATGTCAAACCATATTCTGCTTTTATCTAGAATAAACCATTAGCAGAGCTTGGAAATAACTAGGTATAAAAACTAGTTTAGATTCCCAGAGAACAAACTATTTGCTTTTAACTTTAATGAATGGTTCACTTTTGAGACGTGAAATAATTTATATTTTAAAATGGACCTTTTATGGTTACTACTTTAAATGTTTTTAAAGTTGTAATATTGTTGTATGCCCTTCAGAGACCATTGGTAATGGTGCAGCTAAATTTTTTTGTAAATAAATAAATACTATTGTTAACCAATTTATTTCCTTGCATAGTGAACAACTAGTCACTTCAAATTTAGTTATAATTTAGTTACTTTTAAGAAAGTTGGCTTACTTTTTAACGTGCACTTACAATGGCTGCTGACTACTATAAATAACTAGCGTATCTTCCCAATAATGAACAACGTATTTTATGAAATATAAAGAACTGGCTCTTTAAAATGTCCCATGGTAACTATAAATACCTGGCTTAGCAGCCCCACCTCCAACAATGCACAACTAGTTACCTGTAATTTTAGTAATGGTTTTAGCTACTTTTGAATGATACAAAAGAGTTATCTTTTGCAAATATGTCTGCAACACTAAATAAAATTGCTCTTCTGATGGCTTCGGATCTATAAGAATAACTTTTTACTATCAAGCAGTAACTTTCTAAGTTCTGAATAAGTAATATATCTGGGGCTAAGTTTCCGGAGGTCCAACCTTCTTCTCAACTTCAGTTGAAGACTTTTTTTTTCCTGTAATGAGTCTTGTGGTGAATATACTCCAACGTGTTCACCCCTAAGTCCTGCCCCATCCATTCATTTAGCATAACTTCATTGAGCCCAGATTCTGTATATGGTAACAGGGTTGGTTGTGAGCTATCTTCACTCAAATCCAAAGCTGTTCACGAATGGGCAGTTAAGACCTGTTGACTTTACAAAACGCCCGCTCCTGGCAGAGATCAGAATGGCTAAAACTGGTTTGTCGATATGGATCTACGCAGTGGGCTTGCATTTCGGAGCCCTGGCTATGTGGACTCTTGTGAGGACCAGTCCTTTTTTAACGCTACATTGAGGATAAATATGTTTGCACCGATTAATGTGGCTAGCACTTGGAAAACATAGTTGATTAAAAAAAACTGTAACACTAAAAATAGCGAAACGACAAACTAACCAGGGTTTCCCGAAGAGGTGAATAAGAGGCCAGTCAACGGACATCATATTTTTCTTTTAAGGTCAACTGAATTGGCGAGAGCCAATCAGGAGCAGGAAGATGGAGGATTCCAAGGGAAGCTTTGACAGTTGGGAAGCGAGGGGACCGCCGTTCTGGACAGGTAGGCACACAGCCGGGAAAAGCTTCCTCTTTTAGACAAAAAAATAATATAAGAATCCCAAAGAGCAGGGCTGTTCTCTGTTGGGACTCAGGACACTTAGCCCCCAAAATATGATCCATTCAAGCTCCTGGGTACAGAACACGGATGGGTGCCTTGCACTCCTCCCTATGGTTGCCGAATTACAACTCCCATCATCCTTTAGCACCACACAGCGGGTGGAGAATGGGAGTTGCAGTTCGACAGTACTCGAAAGGCTGCACATCACGTTGGCCCATTGCAGGAAACCCCCCAAAAGAATTATGGGATGCTTCAGGACTAGGAATGTGTGTCTGAAGTCAGCAGTTGTAGATTGCACCCCCCTCTTGAAGATAAAGGATTTCGGGTGCCATAAAAGGCTGACATTTCTGGAAGTTTAATTCCAAATTTGTTTTTTTTTAAAGGACAAAGTATGTTCAGTCTCGCTGTTGTAACATCATTTGCTGATTCTCCGCCGAACGACCCGGGGTTAAGATGAATGACCTCCAGGGTCCCTTCCCAATCGATGAGACCGGAGACGGCGCTCGGGGCATGCCTCTCCGGGACCTTGAAACTGACAGATGATGACAGAAGAAGATGTATGCTGGATCAGACCCCTGAAAAGGCACAAATCCACAAACCCTTGACGGCGGTATCGTCAGAATCCCTGAGAGGCAGTGGAGTGCAGTGGTCCTTGGTCTGGACCGGAGTGTGGGTGGATTGGGCTCTGCCACCTAAGAAGCCATGAAAGCCATTGGCTGACTGACAGAAATGTCCTTTTCCTTCAGTCCGGCCTGCTTTGCAGGGTTGCGCTGGTTTGAGGACAAGCTCTCAGACTCATTTTTTTTTTAAAGGTGAGATATTAAAAGAATTTAAAAAAGCAAACCTTGGAGGGATCACTTGTAATGACAGCAAAATTTGGGATCAGACACCCTGAGAGATTATCGGAGAGAAGGGACTGCGTGACCTTACAGGACCTCCAGAATCCGTGTAAGAGGAGCAGCCAAAGGAAACGAGTCCTCCGGGTATAAAGAACAGATAAAATCCCTTCTCAGAGTCGTAACTAAGGTGGAGGCAACCCAGGATTTGAGGCAAGGGGGCGAAATTTAGAGGGGGGCAAAAAATTCACAACTGGAAGGATGCAAATCCACTCCTCCCGAGCGGGTATACCCCCTCCAGCTGTTCTCTCCACCCCAAATAAACAGAAGGGGTAGTCTCGCACTGAGTTAACGGCTCAAGAAGAGGATGGACCCTTGCTGGGGATAATGGGTGTTGTAGTTCAAAACCTCTGTCGGGAACTGGCTGGAAGAGAAAGGCTAGGCTCGGGAGAATCAAGACGCTCTTCCACACATTCAAGCTCTGGATTATGTTATATACACCCTAATTTAATTAAATGAAAGAGAATTCACAGTAGGTACACAGAGAAACATGAACAGGGGGAAAAAACTAGCCAAACGGTCCAGCTTGACTGGAAACCACCATTGTTGCTTTTTCTCAAACAGAGCACAGTGAGTAAGGTTTTTTCTGTGCATGTCCTTCTGTTTTTGTCCTCCTCCACCCACCCCCAAAAAGGGGGGGTTCAGTGAAAAGAATTGACCCCTGCTCTTGATTTGGCCCTCCTCTTCCTGTGTTCCTTCTTCTGCAGGCGCATCTCCATGGCCTTCTGGATCTCCACGAACGTCCTGCCTTTGGTTTCTGGGATCATCTTGAAAATGTAAATAAAGATGAAAATGGAGATTGGCCAGAAGAAGAGAAAAATGTAAGGACCGATCAGGGGCTAGAGAGGTGGGAAGGGAGGAGAGAGAGAGAGAAAAAGAGATGGACGTCAACAATATCCTGGTTTATTTTAATTCATCATCATCATCACAGAACTGCGGAGCTGGAAGGGGCCCTGTGGATCATCACGTCCAGCTCTTATCAAGAAGGCCCGGTGGAGAATCGAACTCCAGATGCCTAAACCACTGAGTTATCCAGCAGTTCTATAATAATAATAACCTTTGTCCTGAAATCTATAAAACCAAGCTTTGAGGAAAAGTCCGGCCCATCAGAGCGGGGCAGAGGGTTCTAATCCAAGTGTTGTTGGACTCCAAAGCCCATAATCCTCCACTCTTAGCTCTCCAAGCAAGGGATGGTGGGTGTTGAAGTTCAACATCCACGGAGTCACACCTTCTCCGCTGTTGCATGACGGGCTGTCCGCAGAAGGAAATCTCCAAGATGCCTTAGCAATCCGGATTACAAACAGAACAGAAACTACCCTGAACATTTTTAGGGACTTGTGACTTTATGTGTCTTCAGGAGGGTGGACGGGATGAGGCCGGGCTTGGTTTAGATCCCTCGCTGGCCCAGTGACTCACCTCTAGACGAATAAACATCAGTGGTACGAAAAGCCGGGAGAACCAGTTTACAAATCCCCCGATCATGCAGGCTGAGCCCCGGGCTGATTGAAGGAACAGCTCTCCAACAAGCAGATAAGGAATAGGAGCTAGGTAGAAAGAAAGAAAGGTGTCAGGTGTCAAATTCCTCCTTCATTTAAGAAAGAAAGAAAGAAAGAAAGAAAGAAAGAAAGAAAGAAAGAAAGGTGTCAGGTGTCAAATTCCTGCTTCATTTAGTCAATGAGTGACCTAGGCTAGTGAAAGGATAGTCTGAGCTGGAGGGTCATCAGATGGCACTTGAGATCCACCAGGGTCACTTGAACATACATAAGCCTGAACACGTGCAAACCCCCTTCGGGCTTTGAGTGGCGTCCCTGGGGACATTCTTGTTAAGTTAATCAGAAGAGGTCCCCGTCACCTTTACAAGTGTATTCAGTGGGGACATGGGACAGGGCCTTCTCTGTGGCTGCTCCTGGACTCTGGAACTCCCTGCCACTGGAGGCCAGCCTGGCCCCATCTTGGCTGTTCTTCCACAAGCAGGCAAAGATCTTTCTCTTCAGGCAAGCTTTCCCTGAGTGACTGGCTGCCTGAGTGGGGTTTTTAACTGGATGGTAGTGCTTTCACTACTTTGAATGTGTTTTTGGTGCTGCTGATGTGTTTGTCTGGGTTTTATTGTATCGTATTCATTGACCCTTTTAGTACTGGATCCTCATTCTTGCTCATCTCAAATACCATCTTATGATTGGTGTAAATCTCCTTGGATTCTTTTTTTTAAGGACAAAGCCAAGTTATAAATATTTCAAATAAAGCGAACAATACCTGGCCCGACCATCTGTGCAGCGAGGAAGAGGAGGACAAGCATTGTGCTAATGTACGCCCACGAGGGGTTGTTCTTGACCTGTTGGGTAGAGTTGGTTGCGCAATGTGGATTCAACCATTCTTGGCTTCTCGGCCAGAAACAGCAACGCATATAATAAACTCTGCTCTCCAGAACACCACGCTTCCAAAGCCACTGGATTATTTTTGAAAATTTCTTCTAACCCAAGCATGAGACTTCATGCCACAGAAGAGTTTTGCAAGAGGAGCAGAGACCTCATTATAAGGTTGGGTGAGACCACCAGCAAAAGAGCAGAACACCCCCCCCCCAAAAAATACACCAACATAGTTTAGATGCAGTATTTTACTGCATTGGATTGCAATCCCCCTGGTCTTTTTGACTGAGGATTCTGGGGCCTGTAGTCCCCACCGTCAACTTTTCCTGAGCTTGCCTCTCATTATGCCCATGTAGAGACCTCATTATAAGGTTGGGTGAGACCACCAGCAAAAGAGCAGAACACCCCCCCCCCAAAAAATACACCAACATAGTTTAGATGCAGTATTTTACTGCATTGGATTGCAATCCCCCTGGTCCTTTTGACTGAGGATTCTGGGGCCTGTAGTCCCCACCGTCAACTTTTCCTGAGCTTGTCTCTCATTATCCCCATGTATGTGTGTGTGTGTGTGTGTGTGTGTGTGTGTGTGTGAAGTTGCGAATCACAGACCTGAAGTTCCAGGAAGACAGCGAGCAGAATACTGATCATGCTGCAAATCATGATACCGATGAGGAGCAGAAACCTCCGCCCCACAGAATCGATGGAAAATATCTAGAGAACATAAAGGTGGAAGGGAGAGGAAGACAAAGGATCAAATTTTCCACTACAATCAGCCCAAATCTCCTCCTATAAAGGGACATCTTCAGAGAGGCCCACCACACCTGTTGGACTTGCAAATTAAGCTCCTGTTCCCTTCCAAGGACCAGTCACAAAACACAGCCTATTAAATGCAAGATACAGGAGTGAGGAAAATCATGTGCTATGCTGAACAAGCACATCTCACTCTTTCAGAGAGAGGAGGAGGAGGAGGAGGAAAGATAGGGAGGAGTAAAATGTGTATACTTTGTTATCTTTCCATTTTTGATGGGAAGACCGGCAAAGACCAGCAGTGATAGCATCAAAAAAAGAGCCTTCCTCAAGAAATATATTACTAGAGAGGGGATTTTTAAAAAATAAAATAAAATTGGATGACTAATCTCATCATTCCTCATTCTGGGAGTTCTACCTGACAGACAAACACCTAAATTTTTGACTCACCTGGGAGAATAGGCCTCAAATGGAAGGTTTTGAGGCCGAGCTTGGCCTCGCCCCACCCAAGCTTCCTCTTCCTGTCCTGGTGCTAGCTGGGAGCTTTCTTTCTAAACAGGAAGCTGGGAGTACCTAGGCCTAGCGAGTCCTTAACATTTTTGTCCCAGGTAAGCCATATTTAGGTATCTGCAAGGAGTCTGGCAGGTAAAACTCCCACAGTAGAGAATCATGGGATATGCAGTCCAAGAAATCCAAAAATCCCATCCTTACCTGTTTAAGAGTGAGCAACAAAAGGCTTACCACAAGTAACGTCACCAGATGGAGTCCACCATTCACCCCTAGGAGCATGAAGCGGATATATTTGCTGCCTATTCCCAGGGAAAGGTAGATTCTCTCTGCGTAAAAGTATACCTAGAATTCGATTACACCAAGCAAGGATATTAGTTGTGTTGAATAAATCACTGGTAAGCCAGAATTTGAGAATGATTCGGAGAGCGAATCAATTCCAAGGTGTCTTCTCTGCCAGGGACCATCTGGTCCGAAATCCAGTTGGCAGATTAAACCCAACCACTAGTCCTAGCCACCCTGGCTAGTGTTGGTGGAACGTTCAAGCCAAAGACACACAAAAGGCCACCGTCGCTTATCGCCGGTTCTAAATATCCTCCGCTGTCATTCTTGGGATCTGTAGCTTGATGACATAGACGTCTCTGCTGTTGATCACAGTCATGGGCTGGAGCGAGGAATTAACTCTACTTCTTTCCCAAACTACAAATCTCAGAATGTCATCGGATGGACCCATGACTGTTCAAGGGCCATCACACAACTCTCTGGGTGTAGCCTAGCCAGGCTGGGTCCAACGGCTTACTTACGCCATGCACACCAGTGAGCTGGCTTCCCGCCATCAAGATGATGGTGCAGATCATGTGCCGTCGGAGTTCCCGGAAACAGAGAAGCTTCAGCAGGTTCATGTTCTTCTCGGCTTTCTCACAAAGGTCCTCTAGAAGCATCTCCTCAACCTCCTCCTCCACATTGTCCTTTTGTCTCAGCATCTTCAAAGCTGGATGGAAGGAAAGCATTGGAGGAGAAATAAATAGCGGAATTAGAACCTTGGAGGACAACACTTTCAGAAGTTACGCTCTACCACTGGCAAGTACCCCTTCTCCGTCAACCCGAAGGATGCCCAGACATTGTTTTGAGGTCCCGGGTGTTGGTACCTTGCCTAGCTTCTGTTTCGTTCCCTTTCTGGATCAACAGAAACCTCGGACTTTCTGGGACAAACTGCAGTAAAACCATATTTAAAATAGCTATCACTCCAACAAGACTCATCAGATGTGGGAAACCTGTGGAAGAAAATCCAGTCACTAAAGTGGATGGGACATCTGTGTAATGACATGCCAACTGCCCCCTCTCTCCCATTCATTGATTTTTAAGGATGTATTAAAACTCTACTGCTGCCCACCTTTAAGAAAACAAAGTATCTTCTAGATGGCACTTCAACCTCTTGTGTTGATCTTCATAACACAACAATGCCAAGCTATATAAACATTATCAGCAGGATCAGTATCCACTTATTCACTTAGCCATGGTTTGAAAATATTCAAATTTTTAAAAGAAAAATCCTAGAAATATATATTTCCACCATGTCGTTACCAGAACGGACCACTAGAGGGAGACAGAAACCACGCTATGTGTACCATTCACTATTAAAATAGTGTTTGCTATAATCCTCATTATTCATAATCCATAGGAGGAATTGGAAACTCAACCCCTTTGAATACCGGGCAGGGGTTCCAAATGTATTTCATAAATATATTCAAAAGTGTTGGAAGATTTATGAGTTGCTCTCAGACAAACACAGGTAGAAGGTTTTCATGTCCCCCCCCCCCGCTGGAGTGAATTCTCATTCATTAAGTGGTAAACCCCACAAACCAGCTGTTTAATTGCTTTAATTGTGTAGTGTAGACGCCCAAATCAATGATCACATGGGCCTGATTCAAATGTATATCTCTGAGATATCCGGATCAAAGCAGAATAGTCCGCTTCCTATCCACCGAAGCTGCCCGCTCTCGGCTTAGAGCAATGGCTTCTGGTTGCTCTTGGATAAAAACTCCCAGAAACCTTCACCACTAGGTGTCCTGCGTCAGGATCCCTGGGAGTTGTAGTCCAAGCACATCTGGAGACCCCAGGTTGGGAAACACTGGTTCCTAGAGGTTGCATTCACATGGGGGGGGGGAATTAACTTTTTAAGTCCATCCTTTTCTGACGTACCTTCTCGGTTCCCTAGGGCTTCGTGAAGGCCGAGGATCTGAGCCATCAGGACACCCATGGTTAAGAACCAGGTGGACACCACGTGGAGGGCACCCCGCACGTTAGGAGGGGAGATTTCCACAATATACAGTGGAACCACACAGGAGAACATGCCTGGATGAAGGATAATTTCAAGAGTTAAGTTTACCACCTGTCTTATAGGTTTATGGGGACAGCTGGTGTAGTGGGTAGAGCAAGGGGGGCATGTCCTGCCCTCCAGATGCTGGCTAGAGTGTTGGGCTGAGGAGAGACTCCACTTGAAGCCCCCCAAGCCATGAAACTCACTGGGTAGCCTTGGGCCACTCATTCTCCTTCAGCCTGGCCTGCCTCCCAAGGCTGTTGTGAGACAAAAGTAGGAAGAGGAAGCAAATCATCTAACCCCGAATTTGTACAGAGTGGCACCTTTTTGGCCAGGTTGCCCCCCCTCTCCTTGTGCGAGGCAATCCTCTAAGCCAGTACCCCTTCCTCTCTTCTGAAACACTCGGTAGCAGAGATTTTGCACAGCCAAAGAGCAAATCCACTCTTTGGTTTGAGAAGAAAGCTTGACACTTCCGTTAGCTTGAACACTGGTGGGGGGGAAAACCATGGAGATGAGCCTGATTCTGCCCCTGCTTGTTTTTAATGGATTTAAAGCCCCCACCCTGTTGGTCTTTCTCTCTCTCTCAAAGCGAGGAAACATGACCAAGGAGAAAATGCTTTGAAGCACATACAGAGGATTTATGTTCCAGGAATCTTGGCTTACAAGGTCAAAGCCGCAAACTCAGAACAGACTTTTGCAAGGCAGATTTCAGCCCTTGCCCCTGAAATGCGAATTTCGGGACTCTTTCTCACCTGAAGACATTCCGTTCAAAAGGCGTGCGAAGATTCCCACGTTGTATGAATTCCACGATCTGGAAAGTCCCAAAAGGGTAGCGCAGGCAATGTTGATGCAGTTACTTAAGAACAAGGTGCCTTTTCTAAAAGACAGTAAAGGAAAAGAGGCTAGCCAAGGGAGGAGAGGAGCTTGGGCCTTGTAGTGGATCCCTCCTCGTCCCATGACCAATCTGATCGGGTGGGTGGGTTGGTTTCACTGGTCGCTGAATGTGTAAAAAGTAGCTCAACCAACCAGAGAATCGAAACAAGGGCGGGGAGAAACCGTGGAATCAGAAGCTCCCGATTTTTTTAGGGATTATTTGTTTCAGTCGCCACTGAATACGCAAAGAGCAACGAAGCAGAAGGGTCACACAGTTGCAAGACGTTCATCAGTGGTTTTGTAGGTAATTCGTCCTGGTTTGCTCCTTCTGGGCAAAGAATTACACAAGGCCCTGGCACTCTTGAGACCCAGCCACCCCAAAAACGTTCATTCCCTCTCTGTCTGTCTGTCTGTCTGTCTATCTATCTGTCTGTCTGTGATCCCCAGCGTGGTGTAGTGGATAGAGTGATGGACTCTGGGACTGTGGAGAACTGAGTTCGAATCCGTCCATCTATCCATCTCTATAGCTCAGTGGTTTAGATCTCTGGTGGCGGAGCCAGAGGTTGGGAGTTTGATTTCCCCCACTGGGCCTCCTGGGAGGAGAGCCAACCTAGGTAGCCTTGGGCCAGTTGCCTAGTGCCAGGACACATCCAGAAGAAGGGAATGGTAAGCCACTTCTGAATACTCCCTACCTGGAAAAACCTGAGAAGGGTGGCCCTACGTCAACACCAACTTGAGAGCCCATGAGTATTGTTAACTGGGGCAACGCTGAGCGGCTGATCTCTCTAAGAAGAACCTCCAAGCAACCTGCTGAAATCTTAAAGTGGGTCATTCACCTGCCCCAGTGATCCACCAGGAAGCCGAGCAGCAGCAGGCCGGATAGGGCTCCAATGGGGAACATAATCGTGGTGACAGCCAACAGTTCATCATCAAACTTCAGCTCGTTGGGTTGCTCTTTCACTGGTTTTAATGTTGCATTGTGAAATTCTGATATAATCTAGGAGAAAAGCAGACATCACTCGGAGGGGGGCTCGCTCTCCAACCTCTTGGGCAGAGAATGCTATTTTTTTCCATGCTGCTCTGCCACAGGTGCCATTGCCAGCTGCCACCTTGGCTGGGGGTAATGGGAGTCGTAGTCCAATATACCCAGAGGGGCATTGGGTTTACCCAATGGCTGCTCTTGGTAGACTCAGGGATAAGGAAAGATGCTTTTTAGTCCAAAGGTTCAATGGCAATGAGAGCCAGCGTGCTACAGAGGACAGAGGGTCGTAGCAGGACTCAAGAGACCCAGGTTCGAATCCCCATTCAACCGTGGAAGCTCACAGAGGAGCTGCAAGAGAGAAGTCACTTCTTGAACATATCACAGTCTTGAAAACCCTCTCCGAGTTGTCATGACTCAGAAGAGACCATAGTTTTAAAAAAAGAACCAAAAACCCACCAGGATCCTTTCTCTGTCCACAAGACTCCCTCTCGTCCACAGGTGGGTTCCAGCTGGACATCCCTTAGTGGTGTCCCCCCCCCATTCAGACAACAGGGAGCCCAGGCTTACCGCAGCCGAACTGTGGACAATCCAAAGGCTGTATCCACACTGGAACATACCAATGGATGAAAACACTGTAGTTGAGAAGAGAAACGCCGTCAGCTTCTACGGGAAAGAGCCAGAGAAAACGGTTGCCGGGACATACAGGGCAAAGCACCCCCAAACCCATCCGCTTCGGCTGTGTTTTGCTGGCTTCGGACTCACTGGTTTCTTCCGCTTCGGCCTCACGATCTCTATGCTTCCAGCCGCATCCATGGCTTCTCTGGGACGGATCCCAAAATCGGACTTGGCTAAAGGAGAGGAAAAGGACGGGAGATTCCACGTAATATCCTCGGAAGAACCATCGCTCATCTGCCCTGGTTTCCCGTTCCCGACAGTGGACGTTGAAGAATTCTCAATGCTTAAGTTTTCGGTGACGGATTTCCTTCACATGGGAAGCATTGCTATGGATGGCGCGAATCCTAGCCATCATCAACTTCAGCTAATTGCATGGCTAGCATAGATAACAGCAGCTCCTTCTCTACATCTTTCCCCTAACCTGCCATCAACACAGAACTGGCTTTAAACCATCTGTTTACTCCCCTGAGACGGTTTCGAAGGATGGCTAGGCCAGGACCCTTCCTCCCCATCTGACTGGACCACGCCCCCTGAGGCTGTCGAGATGAAGGGGCACCCAAAGGGCATCTAGTCATAACTTCAACAGGAAGGAATAAGGGAAAGAAAACCCACCTGCACCCCAAAAGTCTGTTCTCTACCTAGTCATAGCCTTCAAAGCGGGCTGCTACAGATTGAAGGCCGTAGCCAAGAAGATGGGAATTGTAATCTTAACCACATCTGGAGGCCTACATGAGGTTGGTTTAAGAATCTGATGAACTGTACCGGGGAAAAAATATGGAGACTGTATTATCCCAAATAATTCATGGATTATATTATCCCAGAACCTGGTAACTGGAGTTTGGAAAGAGGGAGGCCGTACAGATCTCCCCACAGACGTTTGGGGCGAAGAAGAAATGAAATTCATGAGCTTCACACCCATTTTTGTAGCAGAGAGAAGGGAAGAAGGCGACAGACCTTCTTTTTCCATGAAGGATCTCCGTCGGAAGGTTAATGGCATCACAAGAAGCGGCCAGGAGGAGGAGGCTGCCGGAAGGTTCCGGGGGAGAACTTGGTGACAGTTGACAAAGCAAGGTGGGTTCTCCACAAGAGAAGTTGGTGTAAGAGCAGTTTTTTGCCCCCATCCCCCCATAATTGGATGTGGCTTAATTGCCAGTGTAACAGATGATGCCAGTCAGGAGGCCTCTGGTTCCGGTCACATCCAAAACGTAAATGCACCGGACGGGGTGAAAACAGGTGATCCTCTCTCGCTTCGCATCAAAAACAACAATGCAGAGGTTTTTTAAAAAGTACTGGCCTCCCTCAACGAAATGGGTGAGATCGTATTATGATGGTTTTAAGAGTTACCTTGAACTCGGTGCTGCTCCTGCTACAGTGACTCAGTTCTCCCAGATTTTCTGTGAAGGGGAGAAGTGATCAGAAACAAGAGTGCTCCTGGCCGTACAGGAAGTACATTTCGACCACCGCTAAGCCGTCATCACAGCTCACACACTTGCGCACTGAGGTATTAGAAGCTGTGTATCTCTAAAAAAATCAGTAAAACTTTGAGAGTGCGAAGGAGGCCAAGGGAATATTCGTCAGGACAGGTAGAGCTTTTATGGTGTCTCATCTTTTCTGAAAGGCTGCGACCTTCGGCTAGACAATAACGAATGGCAGAAAATTGAAATGACGTGTCTTGGCCATCATGAACAGATCTGAAGGTTGGATGGTTTAAAGAGATCAGCTGTGGTATAGTGTTTAGGCCACTGTGTTTTTGTTTCCACTGAGGCCTAAAACGTGATCCGTCGCGTCCCTTTCGGCTCTACGGCTCTAAGATTTATTTACGTGTTTATTTGGTTTACTAGCTGACCTCGGTCCGCTTCCTCTTTCTCAGGCTGCCCTACCTCGCCGGGTCGTTGTGAGGATTGTGGGAAGAGACAGTAAGTGGGTTTACAGGGGGGGGGAAAGGTGGAAAATAACAGAACGAGAAGATTTTCAGCTTGCTGCCAATGCACACTGAACGTGACCTTCACAAAGGGACGTAAGGGAAAGAAACGATAGGGTTGCTCACTAAAAAGGTGATCTTTTTATTATTCATTTAGAAAAAAAAATACAGAATTATAAGGACGGCTCCAGGTTAGTGCCTCCAAACTTCTCATTTTAGAGATACAGTTTTAAATGCCACATTTTTGTGCAAGCGCACGCGCACACACACCTAGGCAAAAACAAAATCCCAGGTACATCAACATTCACTATTCAAGTCATACAAGACGGTTTAACCCTCGAAAGCCAGGGTGAGTCCCCGGTAGCTTTGTACATATCCACGGACGTCGGCTCCCATCATGTCTCGCCGCTGGTCCTGCCTACAGGGGCTGATGGGATACGGAGTCCGGCAACCTCTGCCCTTTTGTACAGGATGTTGAACGCCATCCTCCTCACCCAGTCCTGAAAGACCTTTTTCCTCCTAAAGATTTAAGAGTTCACTCAAGTTTCAAAATCAAACCAAAGTCCGGAAAATAGCATTTTCAAATAATGAAAAACAGGAAGCTGGAAAATTGCTCTTTCAAAAGCCCTGAGAAAGTAGAAAGCCAGATGAAGGACCACATTCCAAAGGTGGACATCCTTTATCCAAAGGCCATTCTTAGGGTTTGCCAGCGATGCGTTCAGGTACTGCGTTCAAGCCAGGAGTTTTCTCACATTTCTATTACCTGCCCGAAATACAAGGAGAAAGTACGAGCGAGATGGTGTGCCTTATAACGTATTTTAATCCTCCTCCATCACCACTTTTGAGTCCTTGAGTATTTCCTGATTCCCTTGAAGGTTAGGATCAATTTTGCATCTGTATCAGATATTCGCATCAGAAGTCCTTATTTTTCCGAGCTACACCGGACGGGTGTGCCTGCTCATCTAGAGGCAAATCTTATTCACTTCGGGCGAGCGGATATCTCCAAATCCCCGTAGTCCAAGGGGCAACAGAAGGAAGCAGAATTTTCGACAGGGAGTGAAAGGGACTCGCAGATAAAACCGTGTCCATGTCGTGCCACACTTTTCATTAAAAATGTGTCCTGTTTGGGGGTTCGTCAGGTGCTGGGAAATTCCGTGCTTTCTCGGTCTATCTCTTCTGTTTCCCAGCCTTTTGACGAAAAAGACGGAGCTGGAAAGCGGACACCTGGACTTGGAGTAAGGCTGTCTGAGTTTTCACGTCGCAAGCAGCAGAGAGAAGAGAGAAGTTTGTTCCGCACCACCCGAGTACAGAAGACAAACATGATGCAGTTTGCTCCCCCCTGGAACGTGTTGCCAATGCCCTGGGGAAGAGAAAAGGGGCTGTCAGATCCTGGAAGAAGTTCCTCTGGGCTATCAGAAACAGATGACAGGTATTTGGGGGGGGGGAAGCACAGAAGTAACTAGTTCCCTATAACTTCACTACATTGTCTAGAGGGGCGGGGTAAAAATCGAATAAATAAATAAAATAAAATAAAATTATAAGTAACTATGTGCAGTTCCTTTAACGGCACTACTTGTAACTATGTACAGTTCCTTTAACATCACTACTTGTAACTAACTACTTTTCACACCAAGCTTTTTACAGTTTAAAAATAATGTAACAAGAACAAGCACGATTTATTAATTCAAAAAATTAATTCTTCCAAGGCTGAGCAGAACCAAGGGGTGGGGGGATATCCCTCGTCCCATAAAGAAGCTTTTTTTCCCCCTTGGAGCTTGGAAACAGAGGTTAGAAACCCTTTGGGGGCCCAATCCGTTGCTTGAGATTCTCCAAAGAGCACCATTGTGTACCTCCTTCCCTTGACACTCAGTTTCAGAAAGTTGAAATACCTCTGCCAAGTTCTGGCAGGGAAATACCTAATCCGAAACAGGTGGATATCTTGGCCCCACCCATTCACCCTTGGCTCCGCCCAGGATCAGAATGCGGCCTGCCAAAGCTTTTGAGAAGTTAGATTTGGTCCCTGGAGAAGACATAGATCAACGATCAAACATAGTAAAAGGCAACACAAAATGTCATGCGTGCAAGCAGACATTTTTTTCTCTCCTTATCTGCTGACTTGGGGAGGATTTTCAGACGGAGCCATGGAGCCTTTCCCTGGCCGGCTGACTGGACTCACATGAAGGACCACCAAGATGGGGTTCTGAACAGCGAGAGAGCCACAGAGGGTCAGGACAAACCGGACGGTGCTCCAGATCCGGAGAAAGATGAAGATAACGGGGATCAAGACCAACTTCTTGTCTGCCACAGATGTTCTCGGGTAGAAATCCGGGGTCCTTGAGAGGAGAGGACGGTACTCGGAGAGCGCAGCGTGCTTTCAACAGGAAGGAAGCCATAGAGCCATAGATTTAGAAGGGATCTCAAACATCATCTAGTCCCCCCCACACACACCGTCAATTCAGGAAACTCAGCTGACATTGCATGAACAGAGTCATCTGCTTATTACAAAATAAAGACTCCATTGGAGGAGACATTCATACCCCAAATACAGGGAGCAAAAAGCAGCATGAAAGTCAGGCGGCAGATGCTGGGGGGAGGGAACGGATGGTGCCAGCAGTGAGCCCCCTCCCAATATGAAACCTCCGGTCCACCCCCTTCCACCATACACCCTGTCTTCAAACCCTTCTAAATTGCCCTGGCGTTTTCAGGAATGATTAATGATGCTTTCCCACCCTCTTGTGTCAGACTACTGTATGTTTCACCTGCTGGTTCAGTGTCATTCACAGATTTTATTCTATTTACATCCCTCCTTTCTTCGCATAAAGGAACACAAAGTGTGTGGGAGTCGGGGACCATCTTGCCGTTAACTTCAGGCAGCAGTATCTGTGAGGTCAGTTCCTGGTAAGGGAGACCAGCGTTTGCTGTGGAGGTGCAGCAACGCGGAGCGGATCCGGTTACCGGGCTGTCACGCTCTCAGCTGCTCTCGCCCACAAATCTTGTCTCGTTCCTAGACAGGCGACAGAGCAGCTGCCAGCCCCAGATACGCCAGCCTCTCTAGCAACCCAGCAGAACAGAAAAGGGTCTAGAATTTCCTGCTGCCTGCTTCTTGCAAAGCAAGGATAATTTTAGATACGTCCATTGCAGACATTGAGAAGATTCATGTCTGAACAGGTGGAGAGCAAGGATTCTAATAACAGGAGCTGGTGGCAGAAAACAAAGGACCAGCAAGTGGAAACAGAATATTTTTAGCCCAAGTTCTCAGAATTCTTAAAATCTTAGAACAGCAGAGCGAGAAGGGGACCTACGGATCATCACCTCCAGCCCCTGTCAAGGAGGCCCAGTGGGGAATTGAACCCTCGAACTTAGACTTTGCAGCCAGATATCTAAACCACTGAGCTATCCAGCTCATCTCAAGTAAAATGGAAATTTAACTCAGGCATAGAATCAGCCACTTGGTGATTTACAAATGTTTAATTCCCTATTCACCTACATGAGCTCTGTGCTCGCCACAGGTGACTACCTTACAGCTTGTGGACAAGCCGTTCCCTAACTGGGAGAAGGAATACCAACCGCTCGGTTGATGTGCTTCTTTATGAGGATATAGAAGATTGGCAGAGTTACATAGGCCAGGATTTCCCACATCTTGCCTGCGAGGAGCATCCACAGGACACGATCCTCTGCGTTGATGTCCACCCAGCACCAGCCGACAGAGACATCAGAGGCATCGTAGCCAATCTTCTTCAGACTGACAGCTGCGACGGTGATAAGCAATGGGACCCCCCAGCTGGGGAAGAGAGAAACCAGGGATTAGTTAGTTTGGGCAAAAAAGATTTCAGAAAAGGGATTTTAAAAATGACTACATCCACATATAACAATAATCTAAGATGATCTTTGCTAAATCATAGCTTCTCATTATGCCTGAATTCTTTCTCTGCCAATAAAAAAGGCCACGATTTTTAGCCAGCCGCAAACCACCATTAGAAGCCATGGTTAGCCTTTGGCTTACAAACTCTGATTTGTTTTAAACCATGGTTTGTTGTTGTCCTAGGCTTGTTTCCTTGCCTGCCTGCTCTGAAACAGGAGCTAAGAAAGTAACCAAGGTATTTTAGAATCTAAAGTATAAAATCTTATGTAAACATTTCCCTCCTCCATAGAAGTAGGCATACAATAACACCAAAATTACAAACTACAATATCCTTGTGAGTATCGCACCTGAACATCTCCCCAAATATAGACTCTAGGGGAGACTCCTAGGGAAGTGTCCCTTTGACCTGGGAGTTACTGCTGTCCTTCCAGAAATTTGTTTGTGAAAAACAACCATATTTTCCCATGCAGGATGCTTATTTTAGGAGTTTTACAAGATTCGTCCCAAAGATTCGGGATAACAGATCCCAGCACAGGGTAAATGGATTCAGTGCGGAACTGCCAAGCGACAGGCAAGTTATCAAGACATTTTTAACCGCTGTCTTTTTTAGTCTCCCAAGATTCTCCACTTTGGTTGACTTTTCCAAACAGAAATAAACAAACAGATTTCGGAACCCTTTGGAAGGAGTAAAAAAGTAAGGAGTTCTGCTTTTCCTCTTCTGAGAGGTAGGGCAGATCAAAGTACGTAAAGGAGACTAGATTTGGGTGGATCCGAGATCTGCTTAGCGATAACAAGGAGAGGGTTTGTAATGACAAGCAAAATCTGGTTGGGGGGGGAGGGAGAGAAATACGTGCTTAGTTGTTGGACGAGACTCGTTTCACTTTTAAAAGAGCTAAGCAACTACGCTTGCCAGCCGACTGTACATCCAGAAAAACCTGCCAGCGTGAACGCCAGCCGTCATTGGCCTTTTTTCCCCATAGGTCTTGCGCAGAAGACCGTTCCCGTTGAAGATTTAAAATCTTCCAGAAATCTGAACTCCAGGGATGATTATATGGAGGAAAGCCGCCGAGAACGCTAAGAACAGTTCCTTGTTCATCGAAAACACACCCCTTTCAACAGCTCGCACAACCGGTCTCCAACACCAGCCCAAACATTATTTGAAGAAACGTCCATCCCAAAGTTCTGTTACTGAGCCTCCCGGCCTTCTATAGCCATGCCTGTTCCCAGCCATCCGAAGAAATTCCAGCCCTCCCGTTTGCAGCACCGAGCCATTGCAATGCAGGATTTACTTTTTGTTAATTAAGTCCCCCCCCCAAAAAAGTAAAAATTCCAAGTTTCGTTTATATGTGTGTGTATATATATGTCTGTTTGCGTATGCATAAATGCACATCCTCCCATGCTCTTCCGAGAATTTTTATTCTCACCTCCACCAAAAAAGAAGAAGAAAGAAATAGGTCACAAATTATATGTATTATCCCTCCTTTCCTTCAATCTGGGGCTCAAGGTGGAGTTCTCGACATTCCTCCTACTTGATCCTCAAAGCGACCTTGTGAGGTAGGCCAAGGTGAAGACGGAAAGAGAAGAACTGGCCCCAGGTTACACTCAGGCAGTTTCGTATCTTCCCGAGGATCTGAGCATTCTGAGTCCCGCTCGAAACCCCTTAACTATGATCCGTTTTATTTCAAGTTACGGGGAAGACTTGAGCTAAATTCAGATGGAACAGGCAAACTGGGAAGATGGAAACACACTGGCCTTACGAATCAAAAAATCCCTGGCATTTTGAACCAGTGAGACCTGCCCCCCCCGCCCCAAACCACTGCAAAATTTAGAAAAAAACAAAAAAAAAATGGTTTTGTTTCCCCCCCCCTCCAGCATTCCACAATAGAGGGGACAGGATTATGGGAGTTGTGATTCGGGAACTAAATTAAATCAGCCAAATAGGGGGGTCCCACACCGTCTTCCATGCTTAAGATGACCCCAGCGGAGTTCAAAACTCGGGTTTTTGGAGAAGCCCTCCTGGGCAGCTGAAAATCAGCCGGATCGGTCTGATGCCTTCACAAAGCTATAAATAAACACACACCTCCGAGTCACAAGGAAAGGGTGTGTGTGTGACCCGTCTGTGGATGCCAGCTTGCAGGTGACTCTGGCCAGCTTGTCTTTCACCCTCTTGTCTCCCTGCCAGTCCCAGGAGCTTAAGGGAAAAGGTCCTGGCCAGCTTGTCTTTCACCCTCTTGTCTGCCTGCCAGTCCCGGGAGCTTAAGGGAAAAGGTCGGAAAGCCACTGGGTGGCGCCGTCCTGACCCCAGGCCTTGCTCGACCCCGGAGGATACTCAAAACACTTGAGACCCCCGGGGGGGGGGGGGGAAGCAGCCTCCAGGAACAACAGAAGTTATCACTACTGCTCTCTTTTGATTTATTTCATTGATTTGTTTTTAAGCATCCTCTCCTTCCTAAGGGGGCCTCCGAGCAACGGCCCCAAGGAGCAGCTGAAAGAGAAGGAAGGCCGCGTCCCCTATGGGCCGGCGCGTCTCCGACCGGACTCGGGTTCGAGTCCTGCCAGAGCCGCAGACGGTGACCTTGGCCCAGTCACAGGTTCTCAGGCTAATTTACCGAGCAGGGCCGCGGCACCCCACATCGGTCATGCCGGTGAGGGCTTGAGGGCCGCCTCTAAGTCTCTGCCGCCTGAGGGCAGCACCTCCTTCTTTCCACCTCCTCCCCATTCGGCAGGAACCAGGATCAAAGCCCAGCCGCTGAGCTCAGCCACATCTGCAAGCCAAGGGTCACAGGGCCGGCCGCCGGGCTGATGTTTGCGCAGCCACCACAGGACAAAATGCTCGCTGTTTATTTTTCCCTCCAGCAGGACGCGCGCCTGCACGCTCCTGAGAGGCCCTGTGAACAAAAGGCTCTTTTCTTTCCCCCCCTCCCCGGGTGTTTTCCCCCTCCGCGCATCTCAGGTGGCCGTGCAAAAATGCAGACGCTGATGCCACTGCCTATTTTAAGCAACGGCTCAGCTGGGCTGGTTTTCGTGTCTCTAGAGTTGAGTCTGAACTGGGAATTTCTGTGTGCGACCCATTCCAATGGATTCTTACCCCCCCAAGTAAAAAATGGGGGTGGGGAGTTGCATCCTCCTAGTCAAACCTGGCCACTCTACTATGCCTTGAGTTCAGCCCTCCAGTTCTTGCTCAGCTGCATCTCCCATCATCCGCAGTACAGATTAAGACTTATGGGAGATGTAGTCCTGTATCATCTGGAAAGTTTCACACCGCCCACTGAATATACAAACACCTGGTGGTCAATGGTTAGGCACGGTACAGATCGAGGCGGTTCAGTGGGGTGAATGTGATCCCTTTAGCATTATTTTTTTGACATTTTTAAGAGAAGAAGCTTGGAAGGATGCTTAAGACAGAAGGAAAGTTTTGAGAAGTTACTTTGGGGCGAACTATAGTTTCTAAACTACCGATAACACCGTATGAAGGAGCGACTTCCAAAAGATCCTTTCTTCAACAGCACTGCTCAGCTCATTTCTGGGGCTTCCTTGAGGGAGTCCGTCCATCTCATATTGGGGGTCTTCCTCTTTCCCTGCTGCCTTCCACCTTTCACAGAATGATGGTCTTTTTCCGGAGAATCCTGCCTTTTTCAGGAGGTGCCCAAAGTAGGGCAGCTTTAACTCTGTAGGGAAACCCCTCGACTTCAAAAGCCCGGCCTGGTTTGTCTAGCAGGAAGGGAAACCAGCCCGTGTGATATTTTAGTTCTACGAGGAACTGGAGCCACTCCCAGCTATTTCTGATTGCGAAGTTCTCAAGGCCACTGACAGACGGCGAAAGCAAGACAGGCCGGGAGGCAAAGAGGAACAGGGTGTGACCCTGCTAGGCGGGGCAGGAGCTGAATCCCCTTTTTGTCTGGGCCCCACACCAAGCATGCGCTTCGCCTCCCAGGCGGCGACACATCAAGCACCCAGATGCATGGATGGTCTCTCTCATATTATCTCTTATTACTTGACCTTTGTTCCGCCGAAGCTACACAATGCCCCACACCGTTGTAACTCCTCCCTGGAAGAGCAATATATATATATATGATGGACTTTAGGGGCACCGCTCTGTTTTGTTCAGACTGCCTTTCTGCCCATTTCGCAGATGAGAAACTGAGGCCAGGACGGGACTTAAAGTTCTTTGAATATATATATTTCCAACCCTGCTTCTCAAAGAACGGAAGTCCCGTCCTAGCCTCAGTTCCTCATCTGTGAAATGGGCAGGCTGACAATAAAACTATTCTTTTTTTCTTCTTCTTTAAAGAAAAATGAGCTTCTCCCCTCCTTTCCTTCTGAAAACAGAAACTGAAGACCAGAAGAAACATCAGGCCATTTCCTCTGTGTTATTTCGCTTAACTAGATCATTTTCCACTTAATTACTTTCAAAAACTGGGCAGGCGGGCAGACCAGCATGTGGCCCTGTAACATCTCACAGGATGGGCCTTTTTCCTCCTGCTCGAGGTGAGAAAACCAGCTTTCCCGAGAGCAAAATGGGACATGCCACTCTGTCAAGCTGGCTCTTGGGTTGGTCTGACTGCAAGAGTCTTATTAAGTTAGCTTCCTCCAGGCATTCATGCCCAGCCCCAAAGAGCTTACAATCAGATGTCAACACAGCCTCTGTTAAGCAGACAGACAAAGGGAGGGAGATTAAAAATAAAAGATATGGACGCCAAGCCTAAGGGACATCAACAGGCATGATATATCACCCACGTAGTGGCCTCCGGATGAGTCAGGTTACAATACCCATCATCCACTCAGCCAGCACATTTATTATTTGATGCCATAAATTAGCATATTTGCATCCTGCCTTTGTTCCAGGGAGCTCAAGGCCATGTATCTTGCACTCTTACCCTACTTTAGTACGACGACCCTAAAAGGTAGGACAGGTTCAGGGCACCTTGAGGGTTCGTCCTGTCACTTCCTACATTTAAAAAAATAAAAAAGACACTCCATCACTGCTCCCTTAAGCAGCTGAAGAAGAAGGTGATGGGATTGTGGGTGGCCAAGTCTCCAAGCCACAGGGATCAGCAAAAACAGAGAAAAGTGGGGCAGGAAGGCACCTATAAGATCAGGACAAGAGGCTTCTGCACAATGTGCTGGACCACCGGTGAAGGGGTTCGAGAAAGCATGCCTCATGTCCTGCAGGTCTCTGCCCCCCATGATCATACAATGTAGATCCTGAACTGGAAGAGAGAGGGCTTTGCGGGTGGGGTGGATGGGTCTACCCTGAAAGCCCTTTGCTGTCTGGGGGCAGGGTCTGTGTTACAAGTGAGTCCCCCCTCCGCCGATGCTGGGCCCTGTAGTCCCAAACAAGCAGGCAGGCTGGGACTTGTCGTCCAGAGAAGCAGCTCCCCCCCTCCACGCTCTGGTGCCAGAGCCCCTGAAAAGAAATGTGTGTGCGGAAGGGGGGGGATGATGAGTGATGGGGGGGAGGTTTCAGAGGGGAGAAGAGCCACGAACCTGACCGCGTGGAAGAGGCCGAGCAGGGCGGGGCTCCCCGGCGCCCCCCGGACGATGCTCAGGTAGAGGTAGAGGGCGATGGCCACGGTCCAGAAGAAGGAGCTGGTGTTGGCGAAGGTGGAGAGGGCCCCCTGGGCCACGCAGTCCCACGAGGTGGCCCCGAAGTCCCGGAGGGCCCCGTAGAAGTAGGCGGCGGCCGAGAGGAGGTCGGCCAGCGAGAGCCAGAGCAGCAGCTGCCGCGGCCGGGTCCGCAGCTCGGGCCACCGGGCGTGGGTGCCCGCCAGCAGGACGCAGCCCAGGCCGGAGAGGGCGCTCGAG